CTGATGTGTGGTGAACATTCTGGCGCACTATGGCTGCCGTCGCATCATCCAAGTGGGGCTGCACATTGGTAATGGGGAGGGGAGTCCCCATTACCTGTAAAACAATTTTAGTGGACTGTCCAGAAAATATAGCTATATAAGTGTAAACTATTATTATTATTATCATCATCCCAGGTCAGAATTTAACCCTCGACCAAAGAGCTGTGAGCAAAGTTAAGTGCCGTGTCATCATGCTGCCCACTCTCTATAATGGAAAGCAGGCATCACTGTTAAATAGTGTGGGAAACAAATGTGGATGTGATTAGTGAGTGTGAGTTTTTTATACTTCACTTTTGTTTTATTCCTGTATGTATATATAACCATAACACTCACATTAGACAAAGCAAAATATAGTTTTTAAGGACACAGCAAAGAACTATTGTGATTTCTAAGTATTATTCAAGTTTGTCATAGTTAAAGTGTATTATCCATGCAATTAAATTTACCAGAGATTTCATTTCCTACCTGAATTGCAATACCATTTCAGTGACAAAGAACTGTAGTCAAAGTAGTATCTAGTTGCATCATCAATATAGACAAGTGAGCCAGTTCCTTACCTCCACCATGGTTCACAGATGGGTCGGAAGTTTCTGGAGCATCTGCAGTTTTTCTCCATACTTTAATATTTCACATCAGTCCTTAAAACATTGTTCCTAAACTCTTTGTATGTGGCACATAACATTTACTGGTGGAGGTAATGTCATGGCCTGGTATACATGACTAACCTCTGGAACTGGCTCATGCTTTTTTATTGATGACATAACTAATGATGGCAGCAACACAAATTATAAAGCTTACAGAAACATTCTGTCTGCTTGTGACCTTTTCTGGGTGTTGTTTTGTGGTTTAGTACTGTTGCTTTGAAAATGTCTTAAAATTGTTACATGAAAGATTAAAAACAAAACAAGATTATGAAATAAACTACTAACTGCAAAAGTAGTTGTACCATCTTCAACCAGATCTATAATTGGTCCTCCCAACTCACACAGCATTGCAAACATTAATAAACACAGACTAGAACCGTAGTATACTCAGATGCATGCAAAATATACTCTAATTACCACTGTGAAGAAGACAAGCAATGAAATTTTCTATTTAAACACTTGCCCTTTAATTAATATGGCACAATAAAAACATACTTCTATGACTTGAATATTAGCACTGAATTGAAGGAGATATGGAAAGCACTTAATTTTCAACAAAAAACACTGCTTTTAAGAGCTGGTTCTGGGATAATCACAGAACTAATTATAATGTACAAAAACACTGAAACAAAAAATATTTCCACAAATGTTTGCAATGTGTTTATAAAAAAGAGAAATATGGATAGTTGTAATGATGAAAATACAGATATCTAGGAGTCTAGCAGCTGTGTTTTTAATTAAACATGTCAATGCTAAATATCTGCAGATATTTATCCTTAGAAGGATGGACTATACATGCATAATTGTTTGTTAATATAAAATTAAATTTACTGACTA